TAAAATCTTAGAATTGATATATTTTTTTAATTCAACAACACATGGAGGTAGAAATTCGAACTTAACCTTTTGGTCGAAAATATATATTTTAACAAGTTTTACTATAACAAATCTGAGACCAAATTCTTTTCTATGGCTTATGTGGGATTTACGATTACATAGCTAGTCAAAACACAAATAATAAATTCTATTGAACATAAATAATATGAAATAAATATTTATTGTCAAATATAATAACAAGAACAAATTTGAAATTTTATAAAAATAATATAATACTAATCAAACTCAATTGTATTGTGCTTCATTTGATAAAATAAAAAAAAAAGACTACGATATTTTGTAAAATCCATATTAAGTTATTGCTGATTGCTGTGAAGTTTAATTTCTAACTTATAACTTTGAAGTTAAAATTTGTTTGAAGGGAAAATCCTCAAAATTTTGTAGCGTTGAAAGAGGAAGCTTCAATTACATTACATAGCCGTTGGAAGTTTTTAAAAAAATGGTAGGCAGCCATCCAATTGGTTTACTATTGGCCAAATATTTTGGAAAATTCCATTCTTAATTAATCTCACATTTCCCATGTGCTCATAAGAAATTATGAGTGAGTAACACATGCACGTTAAACGTGAAATTTTTTTTTTCTTTGAGTACAACACGTGGGAGTGAGGATTCGAACTTAAGATCTTTTGGTCAAAGATAGGTGTCTTAACCATTTGAACTATGCTCGGTTTGGCATGGAGATTCGAATCTTTAATATTTTGTAATATTACTTTATGCATTAACATGACATTTCTATTATATATATATAGTCTAATAATTTCTACATCAATTCGCAATAAATGTATAGTTAATTAGTAACATCACAATTAAGATAAATGAAAAGGCGAGGATAGGGTTAAAGGAGAAGGATGGTTCCAGAAAGCTTCGCTGACTTGGAGGCTGAAAAGGGAAATTGGAAGGTAAAAAAGAAAACCATCTCTAAAACTTTTCTTCTTTTTTTTTTTAATTAGAAAAGGCAGAAAATGACAAAATATAATTAACATAATATCCTCCACATCATGATGTGAAAGGTGCATGAACCTTCAACTCCTTGTAAAGTTGGATAAAGATTTAAACTTTTAATTAATATCAAGTGATTTTCTGACAACCTATTTGTTAATAAAAATTTCCCTTTCCGTTTCCGTAATATCATTACTTGTATACCTTAATTAAAAGATTCCGTTGGCACATGCTTCTCAATTTTTTTTTTCTCTCAGTAAAATATTAATCAAATCACCTTCCGATTCCGTTGATAAATGTATACGGTTGAGATATCATTAGAGGGAATTGTCACTGTTGTTTTAGTTATTTTAGTTTTTGGGGTTCAAACACAGGACCTCTCGCTCTGATACATCTTAAAAATGAACAAATCACCACTCAACCCAAAAACTTAAGCTAATTGATTGGATAAATTTAATTTATTTATATGGATTCCAACACTAAATAATAGTAATAACAAATTTTTATTTTGTTAAAGAGTTTATACGTTAAAATAATATTTTAAAATTCTAAAGATTAAAATCCTAAGAAACTTGAAAATAAAAATAGATGTTTTGAAAATTTAGAAATTAAAATGAGATTTAGGCGTGTAAGTATCGAATTTGATTTTTGTTTTTTTGTCAAGTGAAAAGTAGTATAGAAAGAAACATTATTTTAAATTAAAGAAAAAACTTGTTGAGGCATATGGGACAGGTGCCCAAAACGGTCTATCGACCAGTCGTTTTAGCAAGTTGTTGCTCACGTCACGACACGACACGTCGTTTTTTTCCGAGGTACATTTATTTGAAATTTCAGCCAAAATGACTTTCCTTGCCCCACACTACTTCATAGTTCCTATTCTTACATCCAAACAGAGACAACAAAAGGTAAAAAAAAAGGTTAATAATAAGATAATTTATTGTTAATGCATACGACAAAAAATATCAGCTGTATTGCATTAGAAATTTCAAATATAATTTCGGATTATTAACTAGAAAATTATCATTGTTTTTCTAGGTTATATGCGAAAATTTGACTTAAATAACAATGAAATTAGCCTCACTCTTTCTGAGAAAAAGGATTTGATCATATTTCCAAAAGTAAAAAGATTATACATTTACATCTTTATGTACTATTTTCTCTTTTTATGAATTGTAAAGAAGCGTTTGTTTAGTAGTTGTATATAGCATTGCATTAAAATGAAAGATGAAGATGTTTTAACAAAACAATTTCAAACACAGATACTAACGCTACTGATATTGTTTAAAAGTTCTTTTATAATTGAAAAAGCTTTTTTGATTTTGTTTTAAAAGCTTATGTAGGGTTAAAATTCTTTAACTAATTGAGCTCTAATTTAGAATAAAAATATTAACATAACTAATTCTAAAATATTTATAGGATGTTAAAAAACAAAATCTTGAATATTGATCACATTTAATTGATATTTGATATCATAGACAACATTATTTTGCAATACAAATTAGTTCTCTTAAAAAAAAAGGAAGAAAAAAAAATTAACAGTGTGGGCCAGCCCGTAAGACAACAAAAAGTTGGGAAGAAACGTTTGTTAACGATTGGCCCTACTGGGCCGCAAATCACCCATTTAAGCCGGCATATTAGAATCAGGCCCGGTCCAACTTATTGGGCCTACTGGGCAGCAAATTCACAATTGTGGTCTGAGTTTTGTTTCGTTGCCTTGTATAACATGGCCAACCAATTTCCTTTCTAATTTTACCTTTTGGTTAAATTAAAAGATTTTATCTTACTTTCAAATTTGTATTTGTTTTATCCTACATTAAAATTTTTTTTTTACAATAAGTTGTAAACTTTCAAGCCACATCTATTTATTCTATGACTTACAAAAATATTTTAACCGACTTTAAACATATTTTATAATAGGTTATCAATATCATTGCCAGCACGAGCATAGTAGAGTAATTTAAACATTTTTAACATTAATGCTTTGATAGATTACCAATCCATACAAATTTACCAAGAAAATTGTTGTTATGGTAGTGGAATTAAGGGTGAGGATAGTCTCGACCTCTTTTGGAAATAGAAGGTTAAGATATCCCGTCCCTACATTTGTTGTATCAAAAAAACAAAAATGTTATAGTAGTTAACTTCGCTTGTTTAAAGCCTACACCACCATACATTCTAAATCGTGTCTAGTTTAGTTATTATGTCATGCAAGTGATAAAAGTTAACGATAATAATTTATTAAACATAAAATAAGAAGTTTAACTAAATTGAAATAATTCTAAAGATTCAAGTTCAAGCGAGTCATTTTTTTTTGGTTGATTAATTAAAAATCTAAATTTCTTTTATTTTTTAAGTTGATTGAATAGTAAAAGGTGGTAAATTGTACCTCTAGATTGTTTTAGGGACAGATTTACCTATGATCCGAAGGATCAAGCTCCCTAAATTTTTTAATATATATTATTGGTTAAAAAAAAGAAAAAGAAAAATCTTATGTATAGTGACATAGACCTGTCTATTTCCCTTGTGCTTAAGTTTGAATCTATTCATCCTCAGTCTTCAATTTATTTCGAGTTTTTCAAAGCTCATTTTCAGGGGCAGTTACAAGTAAAATTACCATCGCATTTAGTTTTTTCAATTGTAGCACTTTTTTTTAAATGGAAGTCCAATTTTAAAATGATAACTTTACCCAAGTGATATACATCTGTAATATATCTGAATATATATATATATATATATATATATATAGGGGCAGTTGTAAATATGGTAAAACATGTGTGTGTATATATGTGTGTGTATGTGTGATGTATTACTGACATGAGTGTCTTATATACTTGTAATATATATGTGACATATATCTTATATACTATTGATATGCGTGTCTATGCAATATGTATGTGATATATACATCTGATATACTACTGATATGAGTATCTGATATATTATTGATATAAGAGAAAATTTTGTGCTATATTTGAAAATTTTAAAAAATAGATGACACATTTTTAAATACATAAAAGATTTTTGCTACCCACGGTAATTTTCCTTATTTTTATTTTCAATTTATATGTTGTCATTATATATGTGATATTTTTACTCTAAATTATTATACCAGTATCTTTTTTTCTCTATAAATCATCAATTTTTCGAGATCTGATTGTTCTTATTTTATATAGTTTTCAATTTAGAATTTTGCATTATCCTCACTATTTTAATGGTTCTGTCTCATCTAAAAAAAATAATTTTTTGAATTTTGCACTAAGTGCTATTTAAGAATTATCTAATAATTAATTCATAATATTATAATTTACATTTTGATTTTTATTTCAAACATAAATTGAACTTAATAAAAAAATTCTTTTAAAAAAAATTGAACTTAATAAAAACGTTTTTAGATTTTTAACAAATAAAATTTTAATTAATTACATAAAAATTATATTTATTATTTGCTAGTAAATTATTTCTGCTAAACAGTGAGTGTGGGTCTCTAATCTTTATCCAGATTAGAGCTAAAAATCTCAACTAATTAACAATAATAAATTGTGCAGCGGGATGACGATATTTCACTCGCTGGATCATTAATTATTACAGAAATGAAGAATTTCTGCTTATATACAAAATACCGAGAAGGGAACTGATCCCTAACAATTAAAAATGCACAATTTCATATTCTAAGGATTCTTCTGTCTGTACAAAATTATTATATAATTCATTACTTCTGTTAATCCAAAAGCAAATCGACGCGGACGATTCCTCCTGCCCCACGTTCCCGTCGCTTCGATCGAATATTACAACTCAGATTCATTTTCCTTCTTCTTCTTGAAGATTTGCAGTTACAGAGACCTCGAATTACTTGATCCATGGCGTCGTTGAATTTCACCCACATCAGAAATAGAAACCCAATTGCCGAGCTCGCGCTGACTC